TTAAAGCCATTGATGGGGGGTGGAGGGGAAGGGGAAGCAAGTTAGCAACATGCAAGCCTATGATTGTGCAGTACTTGTAAATGAATTATCAGCTTATCTACATAAATGAATGCAATTACTGTCAATTTGCATACTGCAAGTGTTACCCCATTATTTTGTGCCTGAAGAGGCACAAATTTATTCTAGTTAATAGAAGGAATTGTCTGTTTCCCATTTAATCACACTTACTGAGGACTTACTGAATCCTTACAGGTTGGACTGGCAATGCTAGCTGCATTACTTAAACCTTTTGTATTTTATGAAAGACTAAGTACTGATCAAGTGATTTTTGATGAATGAAAAAACCAAAACCCTAGTGAATGAAGAATTAGAAGCTAATGACTCGTGCATTTCTTCCTCTCTTTCTGTACATGACCCTCTCTGTTACCCCCATAACTGGGGCTCTGAACAATACTGTGCCACTGACTGGAGTTAGCACGGTACTGGAGCTCAGGGAAGGGCAGTGAGAAAGGCAGGTGTCCAGGGAACTGCAGTCAGGGACTACAAAGCATACGGCCTGAAGTAAAGAAGCCACCAACTGAGGAGAGCAGTTAGGAGGGATACTCCCTGAAGCATTCCACCTGCCCCAGGCAAATTGCCCTAGTTAACCTACATTAAAGATATGGCAGCGGTATCAACTTGGAAAAAAAACATTCCAAGAGAGGTGGCCAGAAGAGTGTTACAGAGAGGACATGGGACACGGATGAAGAAACAACTAAAGAAGATAATGTGATACAGAGAATGGGTATGAGCTGCATTTGTGGATGACAACATCCTTTTTCATATGCATAGTGGTTTTTGTTGTCATGGGACTAAGTCTGGAACTGAACTATGCTGGCAGTCAGCAGCACCTCCTTGGGTACAGTGCTTCTCCAGATAAGAATCCATTCTGTTGTTGAGAGGAGCAGGTGCCCTTACACCATGGCATTGCTGACCACTGTTACACAGCAGTATATACGGGTCATCTGCAATGCCATTCTTTGTCTACTTTACCTTCTAGCTTCATCCAGAAGGCAGCAGTGGCAGGACAGATGTGACTTAGCTATATTTCAAGAAAACTATTTTACAGATCTACAAATATGTGATTTAAAAGATTGCATCTCCTGTTCTTCATCCTCTCTGCTCTTAGGATGCTCTGACTTGGTCTTTAGACTTTATTAATAGAGGGTTTTTTTAATGAACCACTACTCTTCTTTGAGAGAAAAAGACTTTAAAATTCCCTCTTGCTGTCAGAGGAAGGGAAGTGCAGGGTGAATGGAAGTGCCAGCTTACATCTGTACATTTGTGCTTTCACATGTGGATGTGGTCACCAGCTTTTGCTCAGTCATTCTCCCTTGACTGGCCAGTGTGGAAGTTGATACTAACCACCTGAGTGTGGAAGTCTCTAATTTCTCAGAGCTTTTCTCCTCAGCTTCCTTTCCTCCTCTTCTGTTTGCATACACCTATTGCAGCCTGTGAGGGAGTCAGGAGGTAACAAAAGGGAACTGTGAGAAGCCAACCACAGACAGTTGAGGGATGACCAAGGATAGGTAGCTCATCTGTGACCATACATATTCATGGGTACAGAAGAGAGAAACTGCAGGGAAACATTGAAAGGAAAAAAAATGGAGCTACCTTGAAGTATGATTATTCCCCAGTGCCCCTTCTAATATACTTTTTCCTGTGGCAGATCCTCACTATTGAGAGGATGGATACAGATTCAGGTATTTTGAGAGTTTTTAACTTGATACATATTGAAAACTTTACTACCTGCAAGTGCTTGTGCTCTATTTTCTTAATCACACCTGATGTCTCTCTCTTTCTGGTGCTCATTCTTTATTAGCATAAACAGATAAATAAGTGAATGTCAGGACTGGTGAGAATATAATCCTGCTGCAGCTACAGTTCTGACAATAACTTTGTTGTTCATTTTATTTGAATAAAACATGAAGGTACATGGGTGTTGCATAAACCATTAAAAAAAAAGGCAAACTCTTTTGGCTAGAAGAGTGAAATTCAATTACCTGAGCAGACTCTTCATACAACATCAGGATACTGGTGTTCTGTCCACATACTTTCTACAGAGTTTTTTCCTTATTATGGTCCCTGATGATTTTTTTTTTCTTTTTTTGTGGGGAGGAGAAGGAGAGACCCTCTGCTTTCTTATGCAGAACTGTTTTGTCACTTTTCCCCAGACCAGTTAACCTACATAATCAAATTCTCAAGCCCCCACATGGACTTGCAAGGCCAGAATTTGCTCTAGCTTTTAAAAAAAGCAATTCAGTCATGAGACATTGTGTCAGTAGTGAAATTTTCTCCCTCTCTGCTTATCACTTTATGCAGACAACATATTTTTAATTCCAGTATTCCTTTAAAATTGAAACACGTAAAACACAAATAGTTCATTTACATATAGATTAGGATGAGCCTTACAGAAAAGCCATCACAGCTTAGTTTGGTTGCATTTTCACATAACTACAACTTTAATTGAAAAGGGCCAGCTGAGCAGAGTCAATCATGAATGCCCTCCCCTTCCAAACAACAGACATTTAGACTAGTGAGACTTTTTAAATTAATTTGATAACTTTTTTTATAACCACCAATATCAACCAGGTAGTCTCCACTGACTTTAAAAGGCTTTGGTAGAGCATGCAGATCTCTTGGAGCATTGCCTGGCAGTTTGCCTTTTATAGGCCTAACCATATCACTTGTATTTAAAAAATTAAAAAATTGCAATCATTGTTGGTTCATTTTCCTAGATTGCTATAAGAGAATACCAACCAGAGTTTACAGCAACTCTCCTTGACTCTACAAACATCCAAAACTGTCCAGGACTCTTAAACATATTCTTAATTTCCACTGACTTCAAGCTAAGCACCTGTTTAAGTGTGTTTATTGAACTGTGACTGAATTAAGCATTTATTTCAACAATAAATGGCTTTCCTGAACTGGAGTTTCTGGATGCAGGCAGTGTTATGTCCTCAGCCTCCTTCCTCGAAGAGAATTAAAATCAGTGGTTGCCCTCCTGGGATTATGACTGAAGTTTGGATTTTCAGAATTAAAAGTATTGCACCTGGATTGTGTAATTCCCACTGTTGACATACGGGTGACAAAAGAAAACAATGTATCATTACAGCATGAAGAAGCAAAGAGCAAGAGCCCAAACCAAACCAGGCTTTCAAAGTTTCTTGCAGCACGTCCCCCAGTCAGTTGTGCTCAGTAATGGAAACAGGACTGGGAATATCACAGCTGGTATGTAGCAGGTGCTACGCAGGTATTTCTGGCTCAACAACCTATGTGAATCCAAATTTATCAACATTGTGGACAGCTCATATCAGATACATACTGTGATAAGCAAGAAGCTGATGTACCTTTTAAGTGGTTTTGTAATAGAATAGAGCCTATCTATCAAAGTTCATTTTTCAGATCTCCTGTAACCTTCTAATTTACTCGTCAGCTAATTTCAGAATTCCAAATTTCACAAAAGACACAGGACTGCCCAGATCACAAAATCAGAGACTGTATAGAAAAATGAGGCCCAAGTGAGAGGTCAAGACCGAGATGGGCCAATTCTTGTTGGCTCCCAAGTGGGTGGCTTGTCACAGGGACTGCACAGGCAGTATCTGCACCACTTCTGCTTGTTACACAGCTGCAGTGCACTTCAGGGGAGGTTATTGCAGAATCAAAGTTCTATCTATCTGATGGGGGGAGCATGTTAGAAGCGCAGAAATAGGGGGTAAAAAGCACTAGTAATCTTAAGAAAGATGTGAAGAGTTTATGTGGAGGTGAGTGGGAGAATGAAATTCTAATGCAAGGCACAGAGGGATACATGGACTTCTGTTGGGTGGGACCATTAAAGGTAGGTTAAAGACAAGATGGGGATCTTAAGAGCATGGATAGAAGAGGACACATGCACAAAGGGCATGAAACAATGAAATTTGGCATTATTAGACCACACTGCTCATGGAACTGCTTGTAGAAAGAAAGAAGAATCAGATAATGAAGATAAACTTAATTTACAACCCTAGTGAAAACTACTTCAGAAATCATACATTCAATTCAAGATTACTTACCTGTAGGTTACAAAGGTTAAAATTATAGTCTCTGAATTATCATTGGAATAGCCAACAAAAATACCCTACAAAAATCAGTGTTTCAAATCTCACATCAACAGAGGCTTCATTTCTGACTAGTTTATAAACCATATAAAATGTACTAATAATTTTAGAGATCTATATATACCAGACAGCAAATGTGAAGTTGTCATAGAGGAGAGCATTAACAAGGTAAGAATGTGGGGTGGGAAGCTTTTGTTACCTGGTTTTTATGTCTTGAAATCATAATCCCATATGCTACAGGTAATAACACTAATAATCACAGAATATGTCCAGGTGTAGACATTGTATGAATGCCTGTGATAAGATCTGTGCTGAGAACAAGAGCATACAAGTTCCACAAAGTGAAAACCAGATTTTTTTCTATGGCTAATGGCCACTTAGAAGTAATGGAGCTAATGACTCTTAAGTTAATGCTAAATCAAGAAATCTACTCAAGAATCAAGTCACCTTGATCTTCATTTTATTTCTGTAGGGATGTAGAATGTCCTTCACCTTAACTGGATGTACAACTCCCAGGTATCTGTTTCTGTACACACACACAAGTGCATAATCTGTACATGCTAAGTAAATGAACCACTATCTTAAAAAGGGATACAGTTCTTAAAACCAAATTACTCCAGAGTAACAGTGAAGAATATTTTGGGTTGACAGCAGGTGTTTTTTCTTCTCTTCCTTCTAAGCCACCAGTCTTATGCTTTACTGTCTTCGATTCTCTGTATTTAGTGAGCGTAAAAAGACAACTAATGGGGAATAAAACAAGAGATTGAGGACTACACTGGAACATCTCACAAGCACAGGAAAGCAAAACTCTAATTCAAGACATATTTAAATTAACAGAGTGATTTATACTGGTTTTCTACTTACAGCAGACATGATGAGCTCTCCACCTAGATTCTGGATTTCTGCTTTAACTTGACTGCAGATTTTGAGCTGATGGGAATACAGCTTGATCTGTTCTAGGTAAGCCAACAAATCCTGTTTACACGATTGGTCTGGACACTGAAGATAAGAAAAGAACAATTAATAAAGCAATCCAGCAATTGCTGATTCAAATCAGAATTTGTCTCAGATATCAGGTTAATACTTCACTGAGGAGTATTCAAGTTGTATGCAAGTGTAGCCTTGCTTTTCACTGCAGCTCTATCAGGTGGTGCAGTTCATTCCTCTTGTGAAACTTTTTAACAAAATAATTGGAGAAGCTCAGAATAATTCTAAGCTTTCCCATATTAATTTTTTATTTAACACTGCTGTGCTTTCCTTAGCAATATTTCTAAAAAAATTCTTTAATGTATAGAATAATTACTTTCTCTTCAATTCAAAAGAGGCTATGATTTCTTTTTAAGAGGATACCTGCATGAATCATGAAACCTATGTAGGCAAATATAAAACTAGAGCAATGTTAACAGTTGTAAGATAAAGCACAATTTCATATAATATGATCTGGTTTATTGTGCTCCATCCAGAGCTTACTCAACTTGATCCACAGCAACAGGAATAGTAAGAATGTCTTCTGGACAACTCACCAATTTCAATACTTTTAACAGAGTTTTATTTTTATAAAAATAGCATCTTTCTACCCTCACTTCTGTGAACTTCCAAGATACTTGGAGTACTGGGGGTGGGGTGTGGAATACTCCTCTCTGAGGATCAGGCAAGACAACTTAGGCTTGGTATGCATTTGTTCTAAAGCTGCTTCTCATTGCTCTCCCACAATACAGGGATCTTCAGGTGAAGGGTGAGCCCCTGTCGTGCTACCACAGCTGTAAAACCTGAGCATGATGAAGAAGAAATGGATCCCCACAGTTTTTCAGAGATGTGTTTTTATCCTCTGTGCCGTACTCACATTATCAAAATCAAGTGACCACAGTTATAGGGAACTGTCTTCAGCTCTGTATATTAAAAAAAACACCACACATCCCTAGCAGCTGCAGTGGCAACACTCATCTTTTGTACAGTTATTTATACCTTTGGTCTTACAGAATTGTGATCAATGGATTTAAATCCAAAACTTGCTAGAAGCCAGAAAAAGCACCAATTCTACTTACATAAGTACTTGACCTAAACTGCTGGCTTTGTTGAAGAAACTTGATACCTCTTTAACATGGAGATGTGATGATTCTGCTCTTCAGGACTATGCAGTAAGTTTGGTTAGGCAAACAAGGTCATGTTTTGGACTCAGGAAGAGGTAGCAATGAATAACAAAGATTAGAGTGAACAATTTAAAATTCATTAATATGAATTCTCAGTTCTTACCTTGTGTTCTGCTAGATTCATTACTAAAATATTTTCTGTATTTTGGCATAATTTAGAAGAAAAACAGAATCTTGACATCCTCTTGCCCATTTGTGATGTTTTCAATGTGTTAGCATATTATGTAAAACTATACTAAAGTCTGCCTTTGGCTCTTCCTTACTCAGCACTTCTATAAGAACTGCACAAAGCAACATTTAAATATTGGTATCTCAGTGACTGTTCAGAAAACTATAATACTAATTTTTTATTTATTTTTAATTAATAAAAATCTGTCCTTCCAGTCAAATGCAATTGTAATGTCTTTAAGCATCAGAACTATATCAAGACAGGGTATATTTTCTGGAATGAGATCCTTGCTCTTCCATTATTTCTTTTCTTAAGTATACTGTGCTTGGTGTTTTTTTTCTCCCCCACAGGAAGAACTCAAGAGATAAAGGGCACTGATAGAGTGTCTTATACACTGCAGAGAGTGACAATGTCAATTACAGAAGTTCAGAGACAAGAATAATTTAATGTTATTATATGGTATGCTTCTATAGAGTAATATTGGCAGGCCAGTCACATTTACGATCTTCCGATACACCATTAAAGAAGAAATATGTAACATTTCAGGAATGCTAAAGACTATATGCATTGAAGACTGGGAAACTGCCACTCAAGTATAAGACCTTGAGGTTAAAATGGTTCTGTGAAAACACGGGTTCAGTGTTCAGTGCTCAGTAACATTCAAAAAAAACAAATGCTAGGCATTATTAGGAGAACACTTCTGATAAAGCTTACTAAAGATTAGAAAATGTACTGGACAAATTAATGAAAAAATATCAAGGACTATATACTGTATCAAGTGTATCAAAAATGTTTGGTGAAGTAGATTCTTGAACGGCTGCTAGAGGCCAGGCTACCATATTGTGGAAGTACCATGAAGTGTGTGCCACTACTCACCCATTTCTGTATGTATTCACTATTATCTACTGTCAGCAACAGGGTATTGGCCTAAAAAAAAACTATGGTCCAACTAAGTGTGCTCATTTTTACGTACTTTACCCATAAAACTTTTTACAGGATGATGGGATCAAGGCAGGGACCAACACAATGCAAAGCAGAGGCATTTACAGGGGTACAGAAAACATTCTGAACTACTTAAAGCAGGATAAAGTACTACAAAAAAAATAAAGGCCTCATGCCTTATAGCTTATCCCCATCAACCCTAAACAGATGTTAGGCAGAAATGTACTCTGTAGAGAGGATATTCCATAAGGAATCCTCTACATATTGCTCACAAGCATCTGGTACAAGCAACACTTGCTCATTAGTGAAACCAAACACTAGGCTGCAACAGAAGGACAATTAATAAATTTTGAGTTTAATCATCCCACAGGCAACTGATGGTTACAAGTTTAATGTCTCACATTCTTAGCTAGAGATCCTGGCAAATTATAGGAGGTACTTTCCTATATGCACTGAAGGCATGTGCAGTGCTAACGAGCTTCCTGTAAGAACAGGATCAGAACTGACTTGCGTCCAGAAGATGCAGTGGTGTTTTACCTAGTAGAAATAATGCCCACAGAACCCTCCAAGTGATTTCATAAATTAAGCAGTGACTAAAACCACAGGGGAACCAACATTGACAAGCCAAGCGAAGAAGCAACTGGCACAGCAGTGGCACAAAAGATCAAGATAAACAATTCTGCAGGAAATTCTGACAGCAAACTATGTTGCTCTTGCTTACCTCCTTCTGTTGTTAACTAAGTCAGTAGCATTCCTCTAGAATCTGTATCTGGCTTCATGGTGATTAATACTGGTTATAATTGCACACAGACTCACTACCATAAATATAAATGTGTAATTTATTGCAATAATTTCTTAACTGGAAGCTTTTAGCCAAGACGATCCAGTAACCAGAAGATCGTTTCAGCACATCTGTTTGCATCATATTTATTGGCTAGTCATTTTAACAGATGGCTTTTTAATTTTACTTTACAGTATATGAAATCAGCTTCTAAGTCAGGAGACTACTTGGTTCTATAGAAAGAGATACTTAATATTGAACCCCACACTTCCAGAATTTAAGAGTAGTTAACATTTTATTGCCTTGATGCTGACTGAGACTCCACTGTACATCGAGGAGTGAGTTACCCCCTCCACAGGACTGCAGAAAGGTCTCACATGAACATCCTGTTTGACAGTGGAAATAACTAATAAGAGTTGTTTCCCTGTAAGAAAAACCCTGAATACCTCCAACAACCAGAATGAGGGAACCTCTTTGACAGAGTCTGCTCAGCAGGCTGTGCACAGATCAGAGGCCTGTTGGATGCTACAGCACCTGGGGTTCCCACCATTGAAAGACACGTCAGATTATCCACACTGCTTTCCTTACTGTGTTATCTCTGACAGAGAGCAGTTTAGAGACCTCCCAGAGTCTGAGTGTCCACCGTACTGGGATCGTAAGGGACCAGCATCTCCTGGAGCAAAACAACTGGGATACTGAGGAGGCTTTCAATAACAATCAATTTGCAGCACATTCCATTAAACCCAGGATGTAATAACTGCCTTAATTATCTTTGGGCTTTCAGGTCACAAATTTGACAATGAATTTGAAACAACCTTATTTTAAACTAAACTTATTGTCAATGTCTTGTGATTAATTTGCCTAGGTGTATGCTGATGATGTACCATGATTATTTTCACAGTTGTTAACTCTGAGTCATCTCAGAAGTGCTATATGGGCTGAAATGTAACCAAATTCTGCTCCTTGTACCACACTGTGTCTGTCCCCTTTCTTCAAACACAGGAAGAGGAATTTATAAAAACCTGAAACGAAGAGCAATGCATCAGAGCGGTGCTGTTGTGGCTGATGAGTTACAATGCTACAAATGTAGCTTCAGGGTGGGGTGCACATCTTTTCCTTCTAATTGAAAAGCTGTATGAATTCTGTAATTGCACAGTTCTTAGTTTGATTCTCTGAAATTACATGGAGAGTGAACCAAAAGTCATTCGCTTGAAAATGTTTTATGAACAAGAAAAGGTCAAAGAGATACAACCACGATTCTCTATGATGCAGCTATTGCTTCTTCTGGGTTCTTGCTCAGGTCTAAAACTAGATGAAGGAAATGGAGGGGTTTGCTTTTCTTCCTTCCATGTAGCTTTGAAAACGGTACCGTACATTACTGTGCTCCTGTTAACTGCAAAGGCAGGGTAATGCTTGAGTCATGGCACAACTGTGAACAGTAAAGTGATGTGGCCTAATTAAATGTCAGTACCAGCAGTGGTAACAAATACTTACCAGGTAGTGTGAGCTTGATAGCAAGCAGTGAGGAAATATCAAGGAATATATGCATAAGGACCTGTATCTTAGAAAAGTTACTTGAAAATGAGTACCATGCAGAGCTATCTCTTTGCACTGTTGAAACAAATCCAAAAGTAGCCCAGAGGAATGTAAAGTTTATTTTATTTTAGGACCCCAAGAGAGATGGGTCTAGGAAGCTTGGCAAAATAACAGCTGAGAAAAGGAATTATTGGTCTCTATATATATTGGTCACCTTGGAGCTTTAGAAAAAAGAACCACAGTGAAAAAAAAAACTCTGTAAGTTAAAGGATGACTTGGCACAGGAAAAAAAGGTTCTAGAAATTAAAAGATTTCTAGCCATCTGAGGAATGAGAGGATCATATTAAGCATCTTTGTGATAGGAGTAAAGGCAAAATCCTCTTTTGTAGCAAGTCTGACACGTCTAGCAATGACTGTAGTTGTGTCCACCACAGAGGTGCTGGAAGGGCTGCTTTGGTTCACACCCCTGCCCACTTTTTTTTTTTATTTTTTAAATATTATATATGCTCATTTCCTTCCAGTGCTTGTGAAATTCCATCTGAAATAGAAGCAACACTGGTAACTGATTTGTGTATTTCAGACACCTATAAGGTGCCACAGGGAATAAATACCAGGGGTGAGGTGGCTCAAGGGTATCAAGGCCATGTGCAAGCTCTGAGATAGGACAAATGGAAATAATTTGAGTGAATTCAGTCAAAGGGTTACAATAACTTGAATGATGTCCCATTTCCCAGAAGCTACAAGGGTGCACACAAATTACTAGCAATAATAGATGACAGCTGCTTTTTCTTGACACCAATTTGTTCAGGTTTCTAGTCTGGAATCACTGTAATAATACAGTGAAAGGTAAATGTTAGGACAGAGGCTGGGTTTCCTGTTCTAAAAAGAGCAAGAGATTATGACCCTTAACTCTTCTTTGGCTTTGATACCACATCATTTTCTGCAACAGATCAGTGATTGAATTTTAATTTGTAATTGATAAAATCTTTTAAAAGAGCCAAGAATTCTCCCATGCTCTTGAAAAGACAGATATGCTGGAGCAGTATCTGTCAAGATCAGAAATAGGGACTCAAGACATTTTACCTAAGTTTTCCAAAATTCAGATCACAGCTGTATAGACTAAAAACAGAAATTCTTTGTCTTGTTATCTGGAATCCAGAGAGACGTGACAGAAAACACTAACAGATTGTTGCTGCTTTGACAGGCAAGTGTTGCATATGAAAATCAAAAGTGAGGGGAAGAGAGACGGCACGTGAGGGTGTGGAAGTCAGTGACTATACTGTGCTAGTCTGGAGAAAGGCAGACACAAAGGCTAGGAAGAGAAATGCTTTAGATTTCATACTTGCACACTGACATTTCACTACACTCTTCTGTTGCTGTTGTCTAGCCCTAAAACAGCCAACCTTCCCTCATAAAGAGGGCTGCATGTGACAAGATGCTTAGTGCATTCATTTACCAAGCTGCTATGCAGTTGTCTCAGCCAGGATTGTGATTTACATGAGATCCTGGTTTGGGTACTTTGGTGGGGTTTTTTGAGTTAGCTGATCTTTTAGAAATCCTATTGAAATCAAGTAGACCTTATAGCTCTGACACTTTGCATTTGATGACTACACAGATTTCTTTTTAAATGCAAAAATATCACAAGACTGCAGGTATGCAGAGGCCACAGCTGACTATCCAGAAGGGTATTTACATGGAAAGCCATCTGACATCAATACTCCAGAGAAATGGCAGCGCTGGGGGGTGGAGATGGAAGAACAATAACCTAGGTACAGAAAAAGCACAGATTCTGTAACTATACACAGAGAGACGAGGGTGGAAAACAAATGATTTTGAAGATGGAGGAGAAAAGTCCCTAATTTTACAAAGCGTGGTGCTGAGATCAAGCAGGTGTCCAAACCAGGAAGCACACTCAGCAGAGCTCTTACACCAGTACCATGATCCTGAGCTCCTGTGTCTAAGCTGACTCACCTCTTACCCGACTCACAACTCATTTCTGGGTAATTTACTCAGGGAAGTCAAGGACGAACTGTACTATACATCTAAAATGTTGCATTCATAGCTTAAATGAGCAATAAAAATATACACAGTTAAATACACATACATACATATTCATATATACTATATGACTAAAATGTTGCATTCAGAGCTTCTCACAGCTATAGACAAATGTATAAATACATATGTAGATAAAGACATGTACATAGACATCTGTGATATACAGACACATACATTTATATGTGTTTCCAAGTGTATATAAACAGACACATTGATACATACGAAGAAGATAATCCACACATGCAAGTAAGACAGGACCTATGCATCCATCACTTCAGAAATTGAGAAGGAAAGGAAAATCAGACAGGTAGATCTAAAAATGTCACAAGTACTTTTATAAGTGACCTTCTTAGGTGTTGGAGGTTCTGTGGGTAGATTAATCAGTGACAAAATTTAATGCACTGCTGCATAAATAACCTACCTGATTGGCAATCAGCCGTGCTAGGACATCCATCCTTGATCCTGACTCTGAAATCATTTTTGCTGCATTAATTACATCAGATGTGTTCTTCAGTGGTCCTCTACCCCTTCAAATGAAACAAAGAACACCATTACATTATTCAAAAACAGAGGATAAATCTTACCCATGCAAATTACCCACAGAAGAACTCGACTGAATAAAACAACCAAGCTGTACAGAAACAACATTAATTAAACCCCTGCCCTCCCAACCGTTTTGTTTTCATGTCCCACAAATTTGTATTGTTTGGCATCGGCTGGATGCAGAAGTACCAGAAAGATGTCACACAGTTTCTTCACACAGGCAGCACAATCCATGCCAAATCCTGAGGTTACAGATTTTAAGAGCTATTTGTGCTGTTTGCTTTTCCTGTGCTTACTTGAAGTTTCTGTTACTTTCCCTTCCAGGAATTTTCTAGTAAATACCTTCAAAGAATGTTCAGCACAGTGATGTATTCTGAGACTCATTATGTCTATCTGATCAGAAAATTAGTTGTTTTTTTAATATAATTGGTGTACAGAAGCATGAATGGAAATATATGAAAAGGGCTGCAATTAAAACTAGCAAATGCCTCTCAGAATACAGCTATGCCCTATCTAGAAGTACTTTCCAGTTAATTTCATACATTATTCCAAGATGAATTTTCCATTTAGGAAAACTGTCAAGTCCTTGTCAACAGTTTGTCAAGAAGCCAACCTCTTTTTTTTTTTTTCATAGAATCATAGAATCCTTTAGGTTGGAAGAGACCTTTAAGATCATCAAGTCATGTATAAAGTGAGCAAACCCCCTAAATTGTATTTCAGCATCTTTGACACAAACACTCGTAGTTTTACTATGTAAACATTTAATTCCTGAACATCTCGTATCAATTTACAAGTTCTGCAACAGACAGAGGGTAGACAACACACATAAATATTTACTACACTTCTTTGTTTAGCCTAAAAATATACATAACTATACAAACGTTTCATTCAGTAAAAAGTGATGACAACATAACACAGCAGGTAACATTTAACCTCTTTTCTTGATTATTCCTATTGTTTAGCAAATAACTATTTGTTAATCCTTTACAAATTACAGTTCCTTAGCCTCAGCTTTTGAAGCCACCATTTGGAACAACCTAGAATAGGGTATTTTACACATTATTTTTTTAAAGAAAGCTATCTTCTTGTTACAGAAAACCTATTTAGCCAATCAATCAGTTTACAGAAGACTAGTGTATGTGGAGAAATGCAATTCCATGCTTCCAGGATTAAGTACCTCAAACTTCACCACGCCCTTCATTTGCCTTTCCCGCTGAATTCCAACTGAACTGCTCTGACTGCATCCTGACCCTTCTCACCATTTCAGTCCACTGATGAGTTTTTCACTGTTATTTGTACTGTGGCAAGTTCCAAAGGCCACAGGCACCTCAGCTGTCCATAGCACGTCCTTAAGTGCTATACAAACTAGAAGCAGTCCAGTACTCTCCTGGAAAGTTATAACCCAGTCTACCAGTCAGACAACACAAAAAGTGAACACCACCCAGAATCTAAGAAGTGGGGGAAGGAGAGATGGAGTAACAGTGCAAGTCATTTCTGCTTACTGAGTACTTCTTGTATCAGCCTACAGCTTTTTTTACATCTGAAGATAGTCTGGCTGAGTATTTTGGAGGTGAAGTTGTTCAGTTAAACTAGCAATTGTCTTTTACCTATCCAAGTCCCTCAGTGGATGTGGCTGATGACAATAAACCATTTCTACCCAAGAAAGGATTTTCAAACAAAGGAAAACAAAGCATGTCTTTTCACCACAAATATGGCCATCTAGAGAGCCACTTGAGGACTAACAAGACTTCTGGCTCCACGTGCCACCTGACTGCACCAATGGTTCAAGTTTGTCTCTACTACATCCTCCAGAATGAGAATGTGGTTATGAGAACAGTTTATGAGGCACAAACCACAACTAGGGCTTGAAGTACATGCTTAGAAATAGTGTTTAAGAATGCCTCAGGTTTATATTAAAAAGTGGTGAAAAAACAGCATCCTAAGTTACACACACGAAGAGAGCTCACAGAGAGACTTGCATTTTCTACACGGCCAAGAAGAAATATCTGTACTCCTTTTTTTACCTTCATATAAAATCCAGACCATTTTACATAAAGTACAGGTTAAATTGCCTTGGGGTATGGCACGATGAGCCCTTAAGTCTCAATTTATGATGTTTGACAATTCTACTCACTAAATACTTTTCAACAAATAATTGGGAGCATACACTAAATCTGCTGAATCACCAGCCAAATGGAAGAAAACAGGAAAAAAAAAAAAAAAAAAAAAAAACACACAAAAAAACCCACAGGATGAAATTTCTACAGGGATAGGTGCAAATTCTAAATTTGGACTGACATAATCAACTACATAGAAAGAGACAGATATAGCCTATACAGTATTGGTTTTAAAAAAAATACAGGGGCTGTTACAGTGGGTTTCCATGAAGAACATTTTGACAAGTTTGAGACTGTGCAAACAGGATGATTAGACACGTCATAAATGTGATCAACAAGGAAAGACTGAAGGATTTAAACACTTCTTTGACAGGGAAATTTGAAAGAAGTGGGGCAAAGGAAGAAGCAAGAGCAGGAGAAGCTGTAGGATACACATGGTAATGGTCTTCAAATGGGCTTCACTTCACAGCTGTAGTGGACTGAGCTCACATTCTGGAAAAGAAGTTTCCAGTGAGACACGGAGGTCATGAGGAACCGGAACAAAGCAGCCAAGGAGGTTCTGGCATCCCCACCACTGGATGAGACTAGACAGACATTCTGAGGTCTCTTCCAGTCCAACAATGTTATTATTTTAAATTTAACAAGTAAGTTTCATGTGTTTGGTGAGTCATCACCAGTTTCAATGCATATTGCCTTCCAATGTTATTGGTGCAGGTGTGGATTTTGTAAATCCCCAGTTTCCCTGATTTAGCACCAGATCAGCAGATTCAGAATGCCACTAGCTCAGATTAACTCTCTGAATCCAGATGTCAGAGACACAAAATGTCTATTAAATCACCTAGGTTGTTCTCCCCAGCCATTAGACAGCTTCCTGCCAGTTTCATAATTACTTGCATTTTGTCTGGCAAGTTTGAAGCATGAACCACTCTGCTTGGGAGGCTGTTTCCCTGAGCTATCCTTCTCATGTCTGGATTTTTTTTTCCAGCTGTTTCACTTATTTCTCTTGATAACATCCCTTTCCTTCTAGAGATGCAGTACATGATCCTTCACCACCAGGTGCTGAAGCACCCCTGCCTAATCTGTCAGACTCCTGTGGTACTGGTCCAGTTATTAAAAATAACCAAATTACTACAGATAATACAGACCTGCATACAGAAGCTTAGGAAGATTAGCTTCACTCATGCAACCAACAACAGATGCTTAAAGACAGATTAAAAAAAGTCCTTCCCACCATCTACCATCTGCTGGTCAACAGCATAAAATTTCTCCGTCATGGAATTTTCCCTCTTCTACAAAATAAATTCTAATTTCCTTGCTGAGGCTTCCATGTAGATTATTATTATTTTAATCAGCTTTATCTTATTGGTTTTCCCCTGCTTTCCAGTCTGTGTAATTTTTAACGCCAAACTCATCTCACACACTCGGTTACTGCATTTACTGATACTGAACATCTGATTTGGATTCATGGGAAGATCTAATACATCTATTTTCCTCACACCATATCCAAGCATAAAGCCTTACTAGCAAAGTAAGCTGATAACACATTCAAGGCTATGAAAACAAAGATGAGACACAAAGTACTATATGTATGAACAATTATATGCCCCCAAGGTAGTGATGGATTGTTACTAGATGTCTTAAATCACCTGCTCAATCCAATGAGGAGACTGGAAATAGGCCACAAATAATTCAAAAAAGACATCCAGCCAAGTCTATCTAGAAGGACTATGGCTGGACTGTGAACAATGCAATCCGTTTAGAGTGTCTCCAGAAAGCCGTAGGAGGAAAAAAAAAGCTTCACATAAATATTTCTTCAATGGTACAATCTTAAGAAGAAAAAAAGCTGTATCATATCAACTGGTACAACACCAAGGGGTTTGGAAAACTGTGATATACCTGAGCTTTTCAATCTAATCGTTCTTGCTCCAAGCCATGATAAACAGTAGATCTGCAGAGTAACTCCAGTCCTGTCTACCTAAACTTAACTACAATGATTAGCAGGCATCAGTATGGGACATTATTTTCTTTTTCCTTGACACTGAAATTTCACTCTGAAAAGTAACTGCCAAAAATATCCTCTTGATTATTCCACTAATGGAAACCCGTACTCTTACTTCAAATCCAAAAGGCCTTTGTGATCACATTTTTCAGGAATAGCCAATCTTCTGCCTCTGAGCAAAGCTGAGCAGCTTAACTCCTACTCACCATACTTGCCTCAGCATCGGAAACAACCTTTGTACTTCCGTCGCATCAGAAACAATAGAGAGCTCTACTGACTAGTCAGTCTCAGAGAATAAACTACCTAACATGCATCTAACACCATAAACTACCATCAAATGTATGTATTTCACAGCCCTGAAGATTTTTAAAGGTGTGAACTTAAGCTTTGTAACTACTGTCATCCCCAAACCACGAGCTGAGCAGTCTCTGTCACACTGAAGTCTTGAGCTTCAGACATGGTCCACTACATCACCAATCCTAACTACCAGCTCAGCAAATCCTGCCAGCTTTCCCTGTAATTACAGCTCTTCTGGGGACACGGCAGAAGAGGCACTAACTCCAAACCAGTACAGACCAGCAATACATCTATCTCTTTGGTCCTTGCTTTTGCCATGAAAGCTCAGCCATGGATCCAGCCTGACAACCCCATTCAACCCCAGACCAATGCCTGTCTGAGCAGCCCCAGGTTACATATCAGCTAGGGTTAAGGTTTGGCCTGGATGTGGCTGACTGGTGACAAGGGCTCCTCATTGATGGGAATCAACTGGAACATTCCTTGACATTGTGAAGAAGCTCAGAGCACTCATCCAGGTGACTATCATTTTACTTAAGGTACATGTCTACTCTTGGGCAAAGTACATTAATTG